GAGTTGGAGGGAATGGAGGCCCAAGAACCCGGGGACCCTTCCCTCTTTGGGGACGAGCAGGACCTTGACATGAGGTCCCTCATAGGCAGTGAACTCTTTTCGGGAACAGGTCCCCTAGAAGGGGACATGTCGGAGGACGAGGGCCTCCCTCCAGGTCAGCCCGCGTTTCTAGGGCTCTTTAAACCACACCTATTTAGGTCCCTCCTGTTCAAAGCCAGGACCACCTCGGGCCTGAACCCCCCTCCCCCACCCAACCCGGCGGCGGCAGGGGTTCCTCCCGACTCTCTCTTCTCTCAGCCCGTGGCGGAAACTGAGGTGATCCCTGTCCCGCCCATATTCTCAGACATGGTTTCTAGGCAGCTGGCCTCCTCGGGGCCCCCTCCCCCCCCCCAACGCCCAGGACAAGCGGTTTTTTAACCTGGAACCGCAGTTCTCCACCTTGCTCGATCCCCTCCCCGTGGACGAGCCCGTGGTAGGCCTGGTTTCCCGCTCTACTACCAGCGACTCACTCGATGCTCTCCAGCCCGAGGACAAGCGAGCTGAACTGGCCCTGTGCCGCGCTCACCTCTCTGACGCTTGGGCAGTCAGGGCTTCCACTGCCGCGTCGTTTTTCACCAGGTCTTCCATCAAGTGGCTCCAGCAGCTCAAGCAGCATGTCCCCACAGCCAATCTCAGGGCGCACCAGGACATTGCCAAGATCCTGGCCGCGGCCGAGTTTTCGGCAGACGCCACCTTCCAGGCGGCAAAGTTCTCCACCAGGGCCATTTCGTCCCAGGTTACCGCCCGCCGTCTACTCTGGCTCCGCCACTGGCAAGCGGACGTTAAAAACAAGACTAAGCTAGCAACAGCCCCCATCTCTGGGGGAAAGTTATTTGGACCGGTTCTCGACCCATTCCTGGCCGAGACCCGGAACAAGCGCAAGTACCTCCCTTCCCTCTCTAGGAGGTCCGACTTCAGAGGCTCCCCCCCCTCTCCTCGCCAGGGTTCTTCTCATTCCTCCTCCTTTGCCAGATACTACCGATCCTCTCCCTATAGATCTCCCTACCGAGCGGAGCCGGATGGGTCCGGAGGTAATCCTTCCAGGAAGCCCTCCCGGGGATCCGGGAGAGGTTCGTTCCGTCGTTCTCGATAATGCAGTCGCCCTCAGGCGCTTGTCCTTTAAAAAAAAAAAAAAAAGAGGAAGGAGTGCGAGAAGGCCTACCTCTACTCCGACCTTTAACCCCTGCTTGCAACAGGCTCCTACCCCAGGAGCACTCTTGTCCTCCTCACCCTGCCCTGGGCGACTGGTCGGCAACACATCTACCCCCATTCAATGCTAGCCGGGGTCCCTTCTTGCGCTCCCGGGCCTCACACAGATCTCTGCACCTCCCCTCCTTCTCTCTGTCCCAGAGTTCTCCCAGGGGAATTCCCCACACGGGTCGGTCTTCCCAGTTTCTTGAATCCCGGTCCCAGTGCACACCTGTTGGCCTCTTTGGCGGGACTGCCTCCCGGATAGCTCCGCCTCCTCTTTAGGCCACTTGTTGAGACATCCCAATATCCAGGGGTTTTCTCCTGTTGGGCATGCCTTACAGCGGGTCATCAGGGTTCCAGGAGAGATTCTATACCAGACGGGGCCCCACCCGCAGGACTAGCCAAGCTTTGGTATGTCCCAACCTGGACACTCGAGACAGCTCTATGGAAAAGGGGCGTTGGTTCTTACCTGATACGCTTCTTTTCGTAGAGCTGTTGAGAGTGTCCAGCCCCACCCGTAGGCCGTCTGGTGGGAAACCTGGCTGTTCGACCGAGCAATCTAATATATTTTTTTCCTGAGTGTGATGAGAACAGGACCTTCCTTCTCGTCTGTGCAAAAACCTGGGGAGCGCCCGAGGACCACGTGACGGTGAGGGGGCGTTCCTCAATTTCAAGCTCAGCCTGGAAGAGCCGAGACTGGAGCTCCTCCCAACCTGGACACTCTCAACAGCTCTACGAAAAGAAGCGTATCAGGTAAGAACCAACGCCCCTTCTCCTTTTGGTTTGTCCAATGCATGTGGCTGGGCAATTGTTGCATGGTATTTCATAAACTCCTTGGTTTTCTAGCTGGATCTTGTCTTTGGGGTTTCTTAGGATGTTGGCTATCTTTTGGTCAGTGCCAAAAGCTGTCCTGATATTGAGTTTGTGGAGAATTTTGCTGATTTTGTCTGTGGTGCCTTTGATGTAGGGGAGGAGTGCGATACGGTTGTCTTGTTCTGTGTCTTGGTTTTTTGGGGGTATCTCTTTTCGGATTAGATTGGTGATAGTGTTTCTTCGGAATCCGTTGGAAATTAATTCATTAGTGAGGGTGTGTAGTTCTGTTCTCAGGTGGTCTTTGTCAGCTAGGCGTTTGGTTCTGGAGATGAGGGTCTTGGCTACGGAGTTGATCTGTGCAGGGTGGTGATGGGATTGTGCATTTAGGTAGCGGTTGGTGTGTTTTTTTTTCCGGTAGATGGTGTGTCCTAGGGAGCCATTGGGTTTTTTGTAAATTAGGACATCCAGGAAGGGAAGTTGGTTGTTGGTTTCTGTTTCCATGGTGAATTGTATTTTGGGGTGTAGGTTGTTAAGATGTGTGAGGAAGTTGTCCAGTTTTTCTTTCCCATGTGGCCAAATTACGAAAGTGTCATCTACATATCTAAGCGAAAGTTTGTGTTTGGATTTGTCTAGAGCGTTGGTTTCAAAGTGTTCCATGTATAGGTTAGCGATGATGGGTGAGAAGGGTGATCCCATGGGTGCTCCTTCTATCTGTTTGTATCTTTGTCCATTGTGGATGAAGTATGTGTTGGTTAGGCAGTGGTTGGTCAGATCTAGGATGTGTTTGGGGGGGTTGTATTTGTTTTGGATGGCTGTCAAGGCTTCTTTGATGGGTACTTGGGTGAAGAGGGATATGACATCGAAGCTCACAAGTAGGTCACTGGGTTGTAGGTTTTGCTTCTTTATTGTTTCTATGAAGTGGAAGGAGTTTTGTACGTGTGAGGTGATGGATCCTGTGTAGGGCTGGAGGCGAGAAATTTGGCAAGATTCTGTAGAGGTGAGCCTATGGAGCTGACTATCGGTCTGAGTGGTATTCCTTCTTTGTGTATCTTGGGGAGACCATAGAGCTTCAGGCATCTGGATGATTTTTCTCTGGGGAAGATTCTCTGCTGGATCTCTTCACTTGACAGCCATCCAAAACAAATCGTTTGAGCAGCCACATGCACATTTGTGGCCCACTGGAGGTCATTTTGCAGGGCTCTGGCAGTGCTCCTCCTGTCCCTCCTTGCACAAAGGTGGAGGTAGCAGTCCTGATGCTGGGTTGTTGCCCTCCTATGGCCTCCTCCACGGCTCCTGATGTACTGGCCTGTCTCCTGGTAGCACCTCCATGCTCTGGACACTACGCTGACAGACACAGCAAACCTTCTTGCCACAGCTCGCATTGATGTGCCATCCTGGATGAGCTGCACTACCTGAGCCACTTGTGTGGGTTCTAGAATCCGTCTCATACTACCACTAGAGTGAAAGCACTGCCAGCATTCAAAAGTGACCAAACCATCAGCCAGAAAGCATAGGAACTGAGAAGTGGTCTGTGGTCACCACCTGCAGAACCACTCCTTTATTGGGGATGTCTTGCCTATCCTTTCCACCTGTTGTCTATTTGCACAACAGCATGTGAAATTGATTGTCAATCAGTGTTGCTACCTAAGTGGACGGTTTGATTTCACAGAAGTGTGATTGACTTGGAGTTACATTGTGTTGTTTAAGTGTTCCCTTTATTTTTTTGAGCAGTGTATTTAATCTGGCCTTTTTGTACTTTAGATTGTGTACAGCTGAGATTTTTGGTAGTGTTACTAAGATTTACTGTCAAATATAACTTTTAAAAAAACAAATTTGATACAATGTACTTTTAAAACCTCATTATATTGCACTGCAGCAAGAAAATAATTGATGGAATTTTTTTAAACAGATAATTACTCTGCATTATGAAAATACAAGGTCTTTTTCAAATAATTATCATAAGGCTTCCCTGAACTACCATCTCTCTGTTGGATCGCTGACTTTAAATTATCAAAATAAAATACACCTTCAATTAATCGCGATACTTAAAACCTTGCTTTTTTGTCAAATCTCATTCATGTAAGGAAACTATATGAAAATGAACTAGATTTGGATTAAATGTAATATAGAAAATAACTTCATGCTAAGCTAGACCATTTGTCCATTTAGGGAAATCTTATGTTCATGCCTTCCACATGGATGAAGCCACTTTTTTGTTCTAGTTTTCTTTGTTCTTATGCAGCTCACAAAGATTCAGTTTGAGAAACTCAAGAAATAAGTTCTAATAAGAAATATATTGTTCAGTAGTGTTAATTTGATGGTGAGAGTTGCATGATGCAATAGGATACAAGTCCAATAAATCTACAGGAAGGAGTTTGGAATTTTATTAAAAGAAGACTCAAAGTACAGCTAATTTATTAGCTTGCTGTTCAGGTAACTGCAGGGGATTACCATGTTAAATTCCCTAAAAAGTGCAAATTTGACCAATTTTGAAGGAGCCATCAATCACTTGTTTAAGAGGAAGGTAATAGATAAAATAATGCCTAATATGTATGAAGAATGTTGCTTGTTTGGAAGCCTGTGGTTCCTCCCGTTAAGATCAGGTTGAGTATTATGAAATACAACATGGCAAGCCATTACAGAAAATGCTCATTTAGATGTAAAAATAATCTGAGTTTATAAAAGAGTTGTTCTATTCCTCGGGCAGGGATAGGCAATCAAATGTGCTTATGGATGACTCCCCACACTGCCTGCTTTTATTTTTAAAAATCATTTTAATTTACAAAAATGTTAAATGAGATGTTGACATGCTGTAAAGCAAAATACCAGCTTCTAATTTCATCTTCATTTGCACAAATGTCTCTAGGCTCCACATAGTTATTTCGTTGAAACAGTGAGTGGATGAATCTCAGTATTAATTTTTGGGAGCAAGACAAGATACCTTAATTGCCTAGGAGGAAAAAAACGTTTAAAAACAAATTGGAGTAGGAAGAGAGGGCATGTTGGGAAAGTAGAAAGGAAGAAAAAAATCCAAGTATGCAATATGTAGCATTTTGCTCTTAAGGTATAGTAGATTGACTTCAGAGTCATCCAAGTTTTAAATGAGAATACAGTGCTATAGGATTGGATTTATGTTAACTATGGCAAGCATCTATGTCAGTGTTAGGGGAAAGCATGTATGCATTTAGCCGAATATCGTAAAGATGTATAATTCGTAAAGCACACTTGCACAAATTAAAGGTTTCCATTTGTTTTTCAATCTAGAGTTTGTCTAAAACCACAGTGCTATTTTGTTGATCTTAATGGTTATATTCAGTGCATAACTATGTGTATTATATATAAAATATTATGACCTAAAACAGGTAGACTTAACTGCTGAAAACCTGAAGTTCCCATCCAAAAGTTGCTCTGACTTGTACTTTTTGAAGTGACAGAAGAGAAAAATATATGAAGGATAAAATCACACTGAATACTTTTAATTTATCAAATTAAATTTAAATTTAATCAAATTTAGTTTTCAACTGGGATCATCACATTCTTTCCATTGTGTACCCTGGGTTGCCTGTCAAGGGTCTAAAATAGCTTTACAAGAATTTAAAGATGAACAGTTCATAAACTGTTTCTGACTTTTCATATGCCACTCTTTCTCAGGATGTGGCACATAAAATGCATTAGGAAAGTGGCTGATTTTCAGTGGCAGGTGTGAGTTCTTTTTAAAGATGAGTTTAGAATGCAGTTTGCAGAACAAAGCTATCTCATGTGCCATCATAAATAAATAAATACATGTGTGTATGTGTGTGTACGCACACACGTACGTGTACATGTATATAAGGTAGAAAAATAGCCTTCCAAATTTGGGGCATTTTGCCCTTGAATTTTTCAGGATGATTCAGGCTATTTTGGGAGGATAAGAAGAGTTGGGAAGATTTTTAAAAATGGAAATGGTAATTCAGTAGACGGTCTTTCATAGTTTCCCTTCCTAATCTTATTGTGATGGTCCATTTTAGTCGGCTCTGACCTCTGGTAACTCCAGGGACAAGTTGCAAGTGTTTGTGCAATATTTTTTGAAAGTGGCTTGCCAGTGCCGCCTTCCTAGAGCTGAGAGAAAATAATTAAGTCAGCTTGCCCATCCATCTTCCATGCCTCCAGCAAAACTAGAATTCATGGTTTCCCATCTACCCCAATCACTTGAGCAAGCTAGCTTTTCTTTCCTATTTTATTCCTAATCTTAAAGGTACCAAAAAGGAATTAAAATATTGTCCTCCCCTTCCCATGTACATCATCCTGGTGATTCCATTTTTAGTGGTACCACAAAGAAGCACATTAGCTATACAGTGTTTTGCAATATAACAGATATCAATACAACCTCATTAAAAATTCCCAATTATATGACATATCATAAATTATGAAAAGGATAACTCTCGCAAACAGCAAAAACATATGATACAATCCAGACTATTTCAACCTTTGAGCATCACTGTTGCACACGTTTCAACAAAACCCTTCCGAAGCATCTTAAACAAAATCAAAGCCCCAATAACCAAACAACAACAGAAAGCAGAAGTTCTCTACAACATGTAAAGGGAATAACAGTTACTATGTAGTACAAATGGAGCAGATTGACAGAATGTATCCATGAACATCAACTGGCAGTCAAAATACATTAAAATTTCTTTATCTCTCAATACATAGACAAATTCAACCACTATTTAAGGGAAACTAACGGCATTTTTAGTTGTGCTAAATTCTAAGATACTGATTGAAATGCATACATCATTGTAACTTAGATCACATCTTTAACCTAGTTTGCTAAATTAATTACAATTAGCTGTGTTCAGGCAACAAACCCAGCCATTTCTTTTGCTTGATTTTGAACTTTGCTCTGTTATAATAAGCAAGATTAATTATTAATAATGAAACTGTGCACCAAGGATTCCACAGTAAAACAAAGTTAGAATACACTAAGAATCCAATAATATTACTTCAGGCCCTTCACTTAGGAAAGCTTCCCCTTTCCCATCCTTGATTCACGGGAAAGGCTCATATTGCAAAAGCTTGTTACATAACTCCAGTTTATTTCAAATTAAATATTGCATAAGTGAATAAATAGCTTTTAGCTTCCCCTGTCTGTATATATTTACTACAAGCCTACCTTTAAGTAAGTCTTTGTGAATAGTTAGATCTGTTTACCCTGTTAACTCATCTTTCCTAATCATGGCGATTTCCAGAATTCAGTTCCCAGAATTCTCAGTAGTCTGGCTTGGGATTTCTGGGAATAGATGTGCACACATTAAAAGACTGCTTGGGTTGGAAATGTGCTAGAAAAAGTGCTCTAGTCAGTCTTTACGCATATATGGTCCTCCGATGGTCTTCGGAGGAAATAATATTTGCTTTGATGTAAACTAAGACAAAAACTGTGTTTCTAATATTAGGGATCGCAATTTGGAGTTTGTGTCAGACCGTGGCAGTGTGCTAGTATTTTTACCAGGTGAGTTTTATTTTTTGTTATTTTTTTAATATGTGAGAACTGGTTTTTTAACTGGGGGAAAAATATCAACCTTTTCTTTTGCAAATTATGTTACCTGACTCCCAGAGACTCTGGGCAATCAACAAATTGTTTAACCATTTAAAAAAAGGGAAAGAAAACAAAAAGGAATAAAGATGGTCAGTTACAGCAAATCCAGATGAGAATAAAGAAAACGAAGAAAAGGAGGCTTCAATCAAACTTGTCAAAAGCTTAGGCTAAGAACCAGATCTTCAGGGTCCTTCAGAGCATTAATAGGGTGAGGGCTGTTTAAATCTACCCACATTCCAGAGGGTAGGCGCTGCTACAAAGAAGGTGCCTTTCTAGATTCCTGTTATATGGCACTCTTTAAGTGAAGGAATCTGGAATGTGCCAATCCTGCCAAATGGGATCAACTCAGCACTATGGTCCCTCAAATAATCAGGCACTATACCATGTAGGACTTTATAGGTAGAGACCAGCACCATGAATTACACCTGGAAGCAAACTGGCAACTGGTTCATGAAGCAGAGGTATTATATGGACATACTGAGGCATGCCCATCACTGTGGGTGGTTCTGTATTCTGGGTCAGTTGAAGCTCCTGATTGTTTTCAGGGGCAACCCTCTGTGAAAGACATTGCAATAGTCAAGTCATGAGGTGACCAAGGCATGAGTTGACTGATGAGGACTTTGAAATAAGTGTTACGGCAAATAGGAGTATTTCTTATTCTAAACCAGTTATCCAAAGTAACTTGGCAGTGACTTAAGCAACCTACAAAGACTTAAACATAAATTTCCCCTGTATCCTGGTCCATTTGTGATCTCTACTGTGAACTAAGTACATTCTAAAAATCTGTTAGCGTTCCTGTCCTGCTTGATTTTTGCATTTTAAAACTTCTCAATTAAAAAGATGGAAAGCTGGCATGAGATAAAATGATATCTTTACTTCCAAGTATGACCCAAATAGTCCATAAAAGTTTTCTTAGTCAATGAAAATGAATGTGGCTACTACATCTTCAGATGGCCATTGGTGAGGGCACCCACCAGTCTGAACAAGCTAGGCCCACCATTATTTTTAAAGGAAAACACATGGGAGATGCCAGTGATTGAAGGTGGTGGGAACATTTTGCATGCCATGTGCTCCATCTTGGGGAAACTTATGGCTAAAATTGGGGAGACTTTCCTTAGATTAGGAGCCTAGCCTGATGATTTACAATATGATAGATTGAGTGCATTTTGGGGGGGAAAGTCCTTGCCTTTGACAGGCACTATAAAGCTTGTGGATTGGCCAGATTTAAGGAAATTACCTGTTTTTGATCAGTACTTGGTCAATGAAGCCAGACTGCCTTCTTTTAGGGACTATGGCTTTGAGAAAAATCAGTTTGTGATTTTACTACCAGGCTTAATGGTAAACTGGAGGATGAAATGCCACATTTTAACTTCGTTCACATATTTAACCTACTTTACTAAATTAATTACAATTAGCTGTGTTCAGACAACAATTTCAACTAACTCTTTTGCTTGTTTTTGACCTTTGTTATAATAAGCTAGCATAATTACTTATTAATTAACTAATTACACACCTAATAATTATGATGACTAAAAATGAGAACATTAACCCATCATCTAAGCTGGAATTAAAGATGCTAAGGTAGCTATTTCAACTGAAGAAACGTCTAAATTTTAATAATTTTACATTTTTTTTTCATTTAGAGGAAACAAGCATAATTACCTTTTATTTTTTTACTCTTCAGGTTTGGCGGAAATAACTTACTTGCTTGAGCTTCTCACAAATATGGTCCACAGGAGGTAAGACCAATTCTTTTCTGTGCCAGACATTCTATAAAGTCACACAGGTCTTGCTGAGTGATGTTTCTGTGACAATGCACTAAGAATGGGATAAGGCTGAAGTAACTGATGAAGACAGAGTTTGACATGGTAGCACAGAATACCTGCAAGTGTATGGAGGTTTTTAAAAAGGAGGAGGATTTTGAGGTATGCAAATAGCATGAGAGGAATAGTGTGCTGTTGGTATGTTCATTCATCTCATTGCTAGATGAGGTGAGATGCAAAGAAATGGAAGCATAATGGACTTTGATATGTCAAGGAGCATATTCTTTTAAAGATTATTCATTAGAAGCACTATTAAAGCATCGGGTGTGGGCCAAAGCCCTGATGAATGGACTTTGAAATATTAAAGGACTGGGTATTATATGATCCTTGGGTGTACAACCTCATTCACACTCCCCCCACCCCCATTCATGCAACTCACAACTAGTTATTTGCAGACAGCTTCGATTTGTTTCATCTTTTCTCCCATGTGGTTCGGAGTTACGAATTTCCTGTCCACTCCCTGCCTGCCTTTTCTGCTTTTTGTTTTTCTCCATTTCTGTAGCTGAAAGCTTTTTGTGGGGTTCTCCATTTGTTTTTCTTCTTATGCACAGCCCCTTAGGCATACAGAGTAAAATAGGAGGGGAAGGAATTTTGAGAGTGATGGATTGAAGTGCCAGAATGAGCTGGTTTCTCTTTGGCTGCATGGCTCAATGCCTTTTTCTTTCCACTAGATGATTACATTCTTTTTGTCCTTTTTAGATGGAATTAAACAGTAGCACATTTATTGACTGTGTTAATACATTGAGATGCCATCAGTTTTAACAATGTTTTAAAAAATAAACTACAATTTGCTATGTTCTCACGTAACAGGTTGTGTCATAAATCATTTATAAAGATCACTGAAACATAGGAAACAAGAGTGGTTGAAGTACTGTTTTATTTCCAGTATATATTTCTAACAAATTTGTTGACAATTTCAAATATGTTGTTTTGAACCCAACCTGGGGAAAATGTACATCTTTCTACATGTTCCTTTGTACAGTTTCTCAAATGACTTTTTTTAGGTTACAAGTATATCCACTCCATTCCAGTGTCACATTAGAAGAACAGAATAATGTGTTTTTGGCGCCAGTTCCTGGTTATCGAAAAGTGAGTTTTTAATTAGGGAGTTAGTACTGTGATTTCTTATTTTGAAGGTGGAGGGTGGGATGAATAGGCATCATTAGCAGAATAAAAATTGCTTACAGTAAAATATTGCTGAAGAAAAGGAAGAGGTGTATTGATGGATGGATGGCAGACGATGAATGAAATTCATTAAAATTTGACATTTTATTCCTGATCCCCCAAGTGCAAAATAACAATATTTTTACATTTTAAATACAATAGTTTTCTTGGATATTTTAAAGAAGAAATGAGTTTTTATTTTTATTTGGGTTCCATTTAGATTTGGAGAAGCAGTAAGTCGCTGAGCGTCACTGCTCAGTGCGATGGTCAGCATATAAATTTAATAAATACGTAAATAATATAATAGAAGAACACACATCACTGTCTGTAATTGCATGAGATTATTGTAAATGAGGTCAACATTTAGATTTTAAAAATGTCTTAAATTTTATTTTAAAACCTCCTTGTAGATCCTTCTGTCTACAAACATAGCACAGAGCTCTGTAACAGTACCAGATGTCAAATATGGTAAGTATGTTTCTTATGTTATAGAAACAAAGTTTGTGCATATTTTGTTCTTTTATTTTGTAATCTGGCTTCAAGAGTGATTAGAATCTTTAAAATCTTTGTTTAGAAATAACTTTTAAAAATGCTGTTTCTGTAAAGTGAAGGGCGTAGTTACTACAACTTTATTATAACCTTTCTCCCTCAGCTGCTTTTCAGAAAATCGCTGTTCTGTGCAAAAATCAAATTCTGTTATGTCAACTTGTACTTGTTCAAAAAAAGATGAGAAATGTCATTAGTACTACTAATTATTAAATGGTATTTGTTTATGATCACTCTTTGAATTAAATTAAATATAGCATTTTTGTTTTGATTCATTTGTTTTTTGAAACATCAAAGGCAATGCAGGAATTGGGTTTGTTTAGTCTAGTGAAAAGAAGGACTAGGGTAGACATGATAGCAGTGTTCCATTATCTGAGCGGCTGCCACAAAGAAGAGGGATCAACCAATTTTCCAAAGCACCAGAAGGCAAGATAAGAAACAATGGATGGAAGCTAATAAAGGAGAGAAGAAACATAGAACTAAGAAGAAATTTCCTGACAGTTAGAACAGTTAACTAGTGGAATGGCTTGCTTTCAGAAGTTGTGGGTGCTCCATTTAAGAAGAGATTGGACAACATTTGTCTGGAATGGTATGGGTTTCCTGCTTGGGCAGGGAGTTGGAGTAGAAGATCTCCAAGGTCCTTTCTAACTCAGTTATTCTGATCTATCCTGTTCAATTTTTATGTTTATCTTCGGCAAACACCACAGAGATAAAGGGTAGAAATTATAGAGAGGCGAAGAGATGTCGGGTAGTTATTGCATGCAGGCAAAGGGTAAGGCTATATAGAACAGTTGTAAACTTTCATGTACCATTTTCAGCTCATAGCAGCTACAGGCAGTCTTACTCAAAACCAATTGATGAGTTTTCCACAGTCAACTCGCATAAAAATAATAAATAGTACATCGAGCTAGAAATTAAAACTTTTAAAATAGAAAATGACCAATTACAACAAATGAAATATTCTAACATTTTGCATTTTTAAGTGTTTTTATTAGATTACCATAATATGCAAAAGAGAGAAAACAATAAAATGCAAAATGATATAATTTAAAAATAAATATAAAATACAAAAATAAAAGAAACTACACAGACAAAAAATTTCACACATCCATAAAAACGTATCATAATGGCTGTATAAAGAGAACTCAGTTTTGAAATAGTGAGTTAAACTCTGCCCACACAGAATCACATTGGTAAAAAAAGAATCAACATGTTGCATAGTAATAGGTAGGAATGCTTAATGTAACAGTGCAGAAATAGTGACATTTCATCAGGTAATAGTAATAGTTTTATGGGATGTTATTCCTTACTCTTGCATCAGGAAATTGTACTCAGGAAGTTAAGGTTAAAGAAACATAGCATTCTATATGCCTTAGAAATCAGTGACATATCTGAGTAGTTAATCTCATCAATTTCTTTGATATTCACTTGACAAAGTAAAAGTTCAGTGGTTATTGCCAAACCTAGTTCATTCTTTCTTCCTTCCTTCCTTCCTTCCTTCCTTCCTTCCTTCCTTCCTTCCTT